CACATTACATCTAATGGTGTTTGCTTATTCTTGCCATGTGCAGTCAATCTCAACATTATCATTGCTAGCACAAAACTCTGGATACTGTATGATTAATAAGGTTTATGGTTTATTAGATTGGATTAAGAAATTAGGATTTTCAAGCAAACAACAATACTGGATGTTTTATTAGTTTTGAACCAGATAATTTATGCTAAACAGTTGTAATACAAGCATGAAATATGTTTGCCTCCATCTGATCGACTGATAAATTGTTAACATATGGGCCATTATTATACAACTTATGTGACATTCGTGACATTATGGCTAACATTAAAATACATTTCATAGGGTGTGTCATTTTTGGCTGGGTTAAGGTCCAATATCAAATGATTCATTTTGTCTATTTTTAATATTGACTAAGCTTCACCGGTGGCAAAAACAATATGTATATATATTTTTAATACTATGAAAGTCCTTGATTTTCAAATCTCTATTGACAAATGGATTATTGTTAGCATACAACTAGTTTTAATAAACAGATAGCACAGCAGTATTTTAGAAACAAACATTGTTCAATTTCAGTGTTTGTGTTATTGACCTCAAAAATCACTACTGAGACATCTATAGAAAAAAACGACAACAATAATACATCGGTGTTTTGTGGCGTTGTGTGTCTTGGAAAATAAGAACACCAGAAATGCACCCTACGCTAAGACAAACGTCAGAACAATAAGTATGGACAATTAATATTGCTGCGCTTTTGAGCTTTTGAAAATCTAATAAAATTAACATAACAATACACGCATTATTAAATCGACCGCGTCGGCCAACACATCAACAAACATTTTACCCGGGACGCGTTGAAAGAGAACAAGCCTTCGAATTAAAAAAAAAAAAAACCTCGCTTAAAAACACAACACTGAGATACGGCCGTGAGAATGACGCACACTGTTTACAAATAAAACGTGACGTACATAATCGCGTTGATCAAATCCGAACGAATTGACTGTGTTGCCGGACATTACAGTATAGCTGACACTTACCGTATTTGGATTTGTTAGATTCCTCGGGAGGCGGCGAATCGACCACTTCGTTGCCGTCGTCATCTACCTTTGGCCTTTTCTTCGCCATGATGTATGTCAACAGGTTTCACTACAGATGTTAAAAAGACACTCACTTCTCAGCACGTCTCCACTGCACGATGTAAATTGTTTTTAGGCGTAGTCAGCTGCCTGGTCATGTGATAAGTGATAGTGAAAGCTGATTGGCTAACGATTGTAACGGAACGCAGTTCCGGGGTTAATCGCCGTCGACCTTGACGACTCTCTTCCACTCATTTTAATACCGCGAATACGATTGCTATTGTCGCCCAATTACGCCACAATCGCAACATCCCTTATCTATTTTCAGAATGACATCACGTAATTAGGTTACTTTAAAACACATTGAAATAGCTACATGCCATTTTAGCGAATTTGACTCAATACATGAATTAACAAAATCTTAATTTACCGGTAGCTAAAATGCCAATAATCTCATTGTGAGAATATATTTTATTCTAAGTTAGCAAAATTACAGATTAGCTAAAATGACATGCTAGCTAAAAAGACGTGTTTTACAATATATTGATTATTGTTGTTGCTCAATCGATTGCGATATTAAAGGTATCCAATTACTGCATGGTTCCTGCGGTTACACAGTTATGGTCAACATATAAATCCCAATTCAAGTTATTAAATAAAAAACGCTTAAAGCGGGAGGGTAGTCACCTGCGCACGCGCGGGAATTGAGTCCCAGGCGACGATACCAACACACGCTAAAAACGCCGGCTCATAGGTAGACGCTTGTTTGTAAACAATGACACGCTATGGCCATCTGACGCATGCGCAGGTGACGACTCCCCCTGCTTTAAAATTTATCGGAAAAATATAACATAAGAAAAACACCCATTAATACAAATCAAATTTTTTAAAATACATTTTCATTAAAATTAGGAACTTCCTACGATTATTTAAGTTATATAAAAAATCTTCTGGCAGGGTTATCTGCTTCAAATGTGATTTTATTTTCCACAGTGATGTATCATTTTGTGTTGAGTTGTTTATTGACCAGTTCAATATCCTTCAAAAGTTCATTTGACGCATTCGTGACCAGGTTATTATATTCAGCTAATTGTTTTTTAAAATAAAAACACCGAGTGGGAATTTGTCCAAATCTACAGAAACTAAGATGCGCCCTCAACGTTTGATTGGTATGAGCTTTCATCCCCCGGACATCACTGTCATAGACGAACGCACTAATTTACCAAAAAGGGACATCCACGTTTTTAGATTTAGGTTAGATTTAAATGATATTCCCGTTAGGATAACCATGCCATCAACGTACATTAGGGAGCTTATTTTTATTAATCATTGAGGTTTGTGAATTCCAAGTGACAAAATCGAAAATGTACGGTAAATCGTGTATAAATTGCATTGCAGAATTGTTTGACTTCAGTCTGTTTGTCTGTCTGTCTGTGATAAAAATGGTTTGGTTGGAACACCATTCACCTTTATTTTACCTTACATGTCTTTCGCAATGTTATATATATTACTATTAAAGGGTAGTGGTTGTCGCGCAGCGCATGTAAACAAACAAGGTATCTTGCACATGTTGTGTACGTTGCTATGAGTCCCACATGAGTCCGATTTCAGCTGCCTGTCTAGTCTATTATGAATCATGTGTACAATCTTATTGACTATTTTATTTTGTATGATACTGGCATAATTATTCTAAGGATACAGAGACTGTCAGTTTTGCGTTAAATAGTGTTTTTTTTTCTTTCGTTTATTATACTTGTGAATAATTTTGCCAACGCAGCTTGAAATGTCTTGTTAATTTGAAGAGTTGAATTTAGATCATGAATTTAAAGCGAGAGGATCATCACCTGCGCACGCACGGGAATTGAGTCGCAAGTGACGATAACAACACACGCTAAAACGCAAAGGATTATGGGTAGACACTTGTTTATAAACAATGAAAAGTTTTTTTTGAAAGTCTTTGAGTAACCTTGCTTAACTAGCTTTACATCTAGTTAGCTATGTCTTACTAGAAACCACCTGACCTATATGCTATATATAGCTGCGGTCTCGTAGCTCTTTAGTGCGACCTTCAATCGAATTTTGCCCTAACAATTTCATTTGGCTGTCTTCTTTTTAATTTTGTTGTTGTATGTCGAACATTGCCCGATGTTGC